TGTTGTATTTGGTGCGTGAGTGTGCGTGTGTCGGCGCGTGTGTGCATGAGTGTATCTGAGTGCTTGTTCGGGTATGCGTTAATGTTTCCTTGTATATGTATGCGTGCATTTGTCCATGTTTGTGTGTGCATTTATGTATCCATGTGTGTGTGCTCGTGCGTGTATCCATGTGAGTATGTATGCGTACATTTGCGTATGTGTGTATGAATTAGCAATTATTACAATCAGGCGCCCCGCCACTCAGGAGCCCCACCACTCAGGAGCTCCCGCCACTCAGGAGCTCCCGCCACTCAGGAGCTCCCGCCACTCAGGAGCCCCACCACTCAGGAGCTCCCGCCACTCAGGAGCTCCCGCCACTCAGGAGCTCCCGCCACTCAGGAGCTCCCGCCACTCAGGAGCTCCCGCCACTCAGGAGCTCCCGCCACTCAGGAGCTCCCGCCACTCAGGAGCTCCCGCCACTCAGGAGCCCCCGCCACTCAGGAGCCCCCACCACTCAGGAGCCCCCACCACTCAGGAGCCCCCCACCACTCAGGAGCCCCCCACCACTCAGGAGCCCCCCACCACTCAGGAGCCCCCCACCACTCAGGAGCCCCCCACCACTCAGGAGCCCCCCACCACTCAGGAGCCCCCCACCACTCAGGAGCCCCCCACCACTCAGGAGCCCCCCACCACTCAGGAGCCCCCCACCACTCAGGAGCCCCCCACCACTCAGGAGCCCCCCACCACTCAGGAGCCCCCCACCACTCAGGAGCCCCCCACCACTCAGGAGCCCCCCACCACTCAGGAGCCCCCCACCACTCAGGAGCCCCCCACCACTCAGGAGCCCTCCACCACTCAGGAGCCCCCCACCACTCAGGAGCCCTCCACCACTCAGGAGCCCCACCACTCAGGAGCCCCGCTGGCCTTTGTACACCTGTGTTTGACAGGTGTACCTCCACAATCAGACCCAGCGAGCTGATAATGTCCTCAGAGGGGACACCATCAGGTCAGGTTTACCATGAGAGACATGGATACCAATCCCTCTTCCTATCCCTCTCCCTATATCTTGCTTCCTCCATCTCTTCTTGCCTTTTCCTTTGTCTCCATTTCCCATGCCTTCTCTTCCCCTTCCTCCCTTCCCCTCTCACCCCCTGCTCGTATTCTGTCTGTGCCTCCTCCCCTTATGCCCTATTTCCCTACCCTAATGGGCCAAAATGCAAAATATCGTCGAATAATCGTGAAATGATGATTATTAGTCACTTCGTTCCGCGATAACCATGTTCTGTGAGTCGTATCGTCCACCTGGATGTCTCGGTGTGTTCTTTATTGTCCCCCAACGTACATATTACAAAGTACTATGAAATGTAGTGACTCAATATTGACCGCGTTTTCTATGCGTCGGCTGGTGAGGTTAGGTAGGCCGCTTGTGTTCGAAGGGGGTTTTTGGGTAGGATAGTTCATTGTAATTGTGTCCGTGGTGCCATATGAAGAGCCGCGAGCAGCGGTGATGGCAGACCGTGCCGCGATTACCGCGAGAGAGAGAGAGAGAGAGAGAATGAGAGACATAGAGAAATGAGAGTTTTTCGTTATTTTATATTGCAGCCTCCGCTGGTCTCATATCTGTCGCAGTATTTGGGATGAGAGCGCAGATGAATGTGTTCTTTTCATCCTGCTACTCTCAATAAAATTCTCTTTTTCGATTTCTGGAGTCGTTTTAATTATCGAATAAATTATTAGTTATTTAGTTTGGCAGGTTATGTGTGTGTGTGTGTTGTGTTGGGTTTGGCCGTGCGTTTGTAAATATATATTCTCTTTCGTTCTCTCTCTCTCTCTCTCTCTTCCCCCCCCCCCTCTCTCTCTCTTCCCCCCCCCCTCTCTCTCTTCCCCCCCCTCTCTCTCTTCCCCCCCCTCTCTCTCTCTCTCTACATCACAGGGGGGGCTTTCCCAGCTTTCTCACCTATTATTTGGAAATTTTAGTGTAGGTAGCCCCGAGTGTTTAGTCTCCACTCTCAGACAGACAGATAGACTTTTCCATTTATAGATCTAAATAAAGTGTTTGTCTCTGTATCAGCTGTCGTCATTTGATACACGATCTATAATCCTGCTATATTGGGCAGCCCGTCCTCCTAAGGTTTCCCAACGTCAAGAAAACGGTCAATTTTTAAGTGTCCTCTCCTAACCTACCAGAGGACCCAAAACAGAAAACGGGACAGTGCGTCACTTTCGCCAGCCGCTTCTATTTTTCAAGAACGACAATTTTTATCCTTCTGTAACGCATACGAACGAAACGCGACGTTCTTTGTAGGAGGACAGGTTGCAGGAGGACAGGTTGCAGGAGGACAGGTTGCAGGAGGACAGGGTTGCAGGAGGACAGGGTTGCAGGAGGACAGGGTTGCAGGAGGACAGGGTTGCAGGAGGACAGGGTTGCAAGAGGACAGGGTTGCAAGAGGACAGGGTTGCAAGAGGACAGGGTTGCAAGAGGACAGGATTGCAAGAGGACAGGGTTGCAGGAGGACAGGTTGCAGGAGGACAGGTTGTAGGAGGACAGGTTGCAAGTGGACAGGTTGCAAGTGGACAGGTTGCAAGAGGACAGGTTGCAGGAGGACAGGTTGCAGGAGGACAGGTTGCAGGAGGACAGGGTTGCAGGAGGACAGGGTTGCAGGAGGACAGGGTTGCAGGAGGACAGGGTTGCAGGAGGACAGGGTTGCAGGAGGACAGGGTTGCAGGAGGACAGGGTTGCAGGAGGACAGGGTTGCAGGAGGACAGGGTTGCAGGAGGACAGGGTTGCAGGAGGACAGGGTTGCAGGAGGACAGGGTTGCAGGAGGACAGGGTTGCAGGAGGACAGGGTTGCAGGAGGACAGGGTTGCAGGAGGACAGGGTTGCAGGAGGACAGGGTTGCAGGAGGACAGGGTTGCAGGAGGACAGGGTTGCAGGAGGACAGGGTTGCAGGAGGACAGGGTTGCAGGAGGACAGGGTTGCAGGAGGACAGGGTTGCAGGAGGACAGGGTTGCAGGAGGACAGGGTTGCAGGAGGTCAGGGTTGCAGGAGGTCAGGGTTGCAGGAGGACAGGGTTGCAGGAGGACAGGGTTGCAGGAGGACAGGGTTGCAGGAGGACAGGGTTGCAGGAGGACAGGGTTGCAGGAGGACAGGGTTGCAGGAGGACAGGTTGCAATGGAAGGAAGCAATATGTCATAGAAAACGGTAAGCGAGGGAGGCTACATAGCACTGTTCAAGTAACGATAACTTGTATATTATTCACCAAGCCGATACGAGACGGAGTAAATAACACAACGGATAAGTTAAACAAAATAATTATCTTCCCTTACGAATAATTGTGATTTATGGGGGGGGGGGGTGAAGGGAAATAGTTGACCCTTTATGGAAATCTGAACATTTTACGAGGTAGTTGGTGACTGTGAGTGGAACGAGGCAATTATAGTAAAAGGGTTCGTGTTTCCTTTCCATCAAATAACCATGAAACAAATAGGAATGGTCAATATATATATATAATATATATATATATATATATATATATATATATATATATATATATATATATATATATATATATATATGTCGTACCTAGTAGCCAGAACTCACTTCTCAGCCTACTATGCAAGGCTCGATTTGCCTAATAAGCCAAGTTTTCCTGAAATAATATATTTTCTCTAATTTTTTTCTTATGAAATGGTAAAGCTACCCATTTCATGTTGTATGATGTCAATTTTTTGTTATTGGAGTTAAATTTAACGTAGATATATGACCGAACCTAACCAACCCTACCTAACCTAACCTATCTTTATAGGTTAGGTTAGGTTAGGTTAGGTAGCCGAAAAAGGTAGGTTAGGTTAGGTAGGTTAGGTAGTTGAAAAACAATTAATTCAGGAAAACTTGGCTTATAAGGCAAATCGGGCCTTGCATAGTAGGCTGAGAAGTGCGTTCTGGCTACTAGGTACGACATATATATATATATATATATATATATATATATATATATATATATATATATATATATATATATATATATAAGCTGGGTTAAAGATATTTCATATTTCTAGTTTCCAAAAATGATGGTCATGGGGGAAATGTTGGGGGTGATGATGCTTAGTAGAGAGAGAGAGAGAGAGAGAGAGAGAGAGAGAGAGAGAGAGAGAGAGAGCTAGCCATCCCTCTATCCATCGTTTAAATTGGACAGAATGTATAATTGGGTAGTAAACTGTGAATGGAACAAGGGATTCAAGATAAGAGGGTGTATTTTATTTTTTTGGTTACATATATATATATATATATATATATATATATAGATATAGATATATAGATATATAGATATATAGATATATATATATATATATATATATATATATATATATATATATATATATATATATATATTACTGTATAACGTAGTGTGGTATATAACTCCACATACACTTATTGTTGACATAATTTTATGCCCAATTACAAATCTTACCAATTATTAAGTTATCTAATTTATATAATCCTGGACTTTCATTACTATTATCTAATTCACTACTTTTTCTAGGATTCAATAATATTTCTTTCAGTAACTGATTTACACTCCACAATTTGCATTAATTAGTCCAGTCAATTGAATGATTACAATCTCTTAATTGAATAAATAATGCATTGGACCGGTTCTTATACTATATTTGTTATTTTATTATCTGGTCTAAGATATTCACGTGTTTGGCCAACATAGAATTTATTACAATATGTTGACCAAACAGGTTAACATCTTGACTAGAGAATAAAAGCACATAGTGATCGGAGAATGATGCTAGAGTAATTTGCCATTTCATGCAAAGAGGGGGAGGGAAGGATGTGGCTCGACCCCCGACCCGCCTATCACTACTCATGATCAATAACCAGTCACCCTTGCTAAGTTTGGCGAGGCTAGCCTTAAGCATCTGGCCCCCCAACCTCGAACTGACAAACGGCTATTCTCTGTGTTGAGATATATATATATATAAAACTGGTTTACCTCTCCCTCCCTGCACAGGATATTGGGCGTCCTCTCGGTCTGGCGATACCAGAGTACAGCAACCACAACGCCGTCCTCCACACCGACGACTCCCACCACTACGACAGCGACGCCGCCGAGTACGACTACAGAGACTACGGTGACAACGCCTTCGAGCCATACAACGACGTCGAATACAATGAGTTCCCTGACTACGTTTATGACGACTACGAGGACTTCGAGGACGGCCGCGTGTCCAGTACCCACGAGTTGAACGCCGGCGAGGACTTCATCGTCACGCAAGAGGGGGACGTCACGCTGAGTGAGACAGAAGAGAGCGAGGAGAAAGAGGAGAGAGAAGAAAAGAGGACAGACATGAAGGAGATGTCTGCTGACGCCGGCGGCCGACGAGAGCAGCTGGAGGCCACCTCAGCAGAGACGGATGATGAGGATCTGGTTGAAGGGTCCGGCGCGAAGGACCACGGCAAGTTTGGTGAGTACGTCTTACAGTGAGTAGGCGGCAGACGCGAGTTTGTGTGTCGAATGTGTGCATGTGTGTTTTAATACGTGTGCACGGGCGTTCGAATAGTGCACGGGCGTTCGAATCAATTAGTGCTAAGATTGTCTTATGTGTTGTGTGTTTTTGTGAAGGTAAGCTATGTGTATTTTGTTTGTTTTAATCGTGTAAGTGTGCTTGCATATGTGTATGATTGTTTTATCTGGTGTTCATGTAACTGTGTTTTTGCTGATGTGGGTGTGCTCCCTCGTTTTATTTTTGGACGCTTAAAAAATACCCTCCGAGCACCACGTGTCAGTGGACACCTACGTTTCAATTTTATTTTTAACTGGTTTATGCACCGAGAGAAAGAATATGTGTGTTTTGAAATTCTGAACAGAGAAAAACTGGAAAGTTATATTTGTTCGTGTTTATTCAGAAGTTGACAATGGAAACAATACGCCCACTTGTTTGTGTGTTTTTGCGAATGAGTATTTGTGCGTGTGTGTGAGACCGCGTGCATTTGTGTATGCGTTTGTTTGGTGTTTGTTTTACTTCGATTTGCTTATTTTAATGACAATTAACGATTTGCTCCGTTAATTACAGTCTGAAATTGCCGTCATTGCTTGTGCTTGCGAGTGTACCTCCAGCGTCCTGGTCGCATGCAATGCCCAAATATCATTTACTGTTGTGTGTCGTTATCTTGAAGTTGCTTCTAGTTGGTGAGACTCTCGCATCTTCCGGCAGAGCTGATGTGGTCCGTCTGGTCGGGATGTTCCACTTCTTGCGACGGAGGCGTCCGGATCCGCTCCTACAGCTGCGTTCCCAACCAACTGTTTCTGGAAGAATGCGTCCGCGCAGGGATTGAAACCCAGCAACAGCGGGCGTGCAACTTGCAACCCTGTCCTTCCACCACCACGCCACGCACCACCACCACTACAACCTCCACCACCACCGCCGCCGCGACCACTACCACCACTGCCGCGACCACCACCTCCACCAGCAGAGGGATCAGCGGCGCCTCTACGCCAGAGATGGACAACATGATCCAGTCAATACCATACATGACCTCCACCGACACCTTCTCTCCTCCTCCCGTCACCGCCACACCGTTACACCAGTTCATGACTGTCACCTCAACCCCGTCATCTCCCACCACATCTACCCGTCCTTCCACCACCACCTCCACTACCACAACCAGGACCAAAGTGGTGGAGATGCATCCACTCTTCCCCACCACACTCATCAGTCCGGATCTGGCTCCCGTCAGCGAGACGTCCCACAACGACTCCGCCAAAGTTTACCCAGACAAGAAACCTCACAAAGTTTCTAAAATGGACGACAACTCTGTATGGAAGGTTTGTTTATTGACAGTTTGAAGGCTCTGTTACCTATGGATTTTTTGTTTTCTTTTTGTTTTTTGAGTGTTGGAGTAGCGTGTGACATATATTTATCTGAATAGTTGGCCTCGTGTTCTTACAAGTTTTCAAGGGGTGAAATATATTAATATTTATATAGAGAGAGAGGAAATGAGTTAGTGAAGGAGAGAGGCAGATAGACTGGAACAAAATTTGAGAGGTAGAAATGATTAAGAAACAGTTTCGAAACCAACTTGCATTCCAAATGAGCTATCTTCCAAGGCCCTCCACGTTAAATGCTCTCTTATAGTTAAGAGTGAAGGAATGAATTTGTTTAGCATTAAATGAACAAATCCACAAGGGCCGTGACGAGGATTCGAACCTGCATCCGGGAGCATCCCAGACACTGCCTTAATCGACTGAGCTACGACAGGGTTAAAAGGGATTTGTTCATTTGATGCATCACGTTAGTGTGATCTCTGTGTGTAATTGTTTAGCATTACTTAGGGACATCACCAAGCATATAAGCCGAGCAAAATATTTCAACGCCTCTTTGAGAAAGTCGGATAAGCTAATTAGTTTATGCAGTGGAAGATGTACTGTGTGATTCTCAGAATGCAGGTATCTATCTATATCTCCCTCCTGTAGCAGACGATGAAGGAGAGGGACATGAACGAGGTGCTGCCAAGAGGTGGCCCACCGCCCTCCCTTATGCCCGGCTCCTACAGCAAGAGGATGTCATGGAACCACAAGTGGAGCTACCAGTACCACCACCACCACCACCACCACAACCACAACCAGCAGCCTCACCGCATGAGACATCACCACACCAAGCGTATGTACACCTCTCATACTGCAAAGTCTTTTTTTTCTTTTTCACAATTTGCCTCTAGTCACTTCCGCTTTCGTTTTTATCATCGTCATTACCGCCTCCAACACAGGTACTGCCTCCCAACACAGGTACTGCCTCCCAACACAGGTACTGCCTCCCAACACAGGTACTGCCTCCCAACACAGGTACTGCCTCCAACACAGGTACTGCCTCCAACACAGGTACTGCCTCCAACACAGGTACTGCCTCCAACACAGGTACTGCCTCCAACACAGGTACCGCCTCCAACACAGGTACTGCCTCCACCCCGTCCATAAGAGAGAGAGGAAATTATCAAGGTAAAGCGCCAAGCCATTACGACTATATAGCACTTGGAAAGAGGTCAACATAAGGATTTGGGATGAGACGGGGAGAAAGGAATGGTGACCAACCACTTGTGAACGGTCGGGAATTGAACGCCGACCTGCAGGAAGCGAGATCGTCGCTCTACCGTCCACCCCCAAGTGGTTAACCCCGCCCTTGAGAACCAGCAGGACGGTAATAACTCATGGAACAGGAAGAGTGCGTGCAGGCGCCGACCACAAGCCTCGCGGCCTTGACCGACACATATTAACTGAGGAACGATAATTCCCGCCAGTAACACTGATCTGAACGACGCCGGTGTATGCCCGACCGCGAGAGTCGCTCCAGGCACGCACGCAGGCACACACACACACACGCACGCAGGCACACACACACGCACGCAGGCACACACGCACGCACGCAAGCAAGCAGGCACGCACGCACGCAAGCAGGCACGCAAGCAAGCAGGCACAAGCACGCACTCACTCACACAAACACTGGTAACGTGTGGTCACCTTTGGGAAAACTAGGATAGTTTTAGTTTTGATAGGATAACTAGGATAGAAACTCTTTGGGCGCTGGTGGCTTGAGCGGATAGCACGCTAGATACGTAGTCCTTTGGACCGGGGTTCGATTCCCGGCACCTGCGGAAACAAAAATGGGTAGAGTTTCTTTCACCCTGATGCTCTCGTTACCTAGCAGTAAATAGGTACCTGGGAGTTAGACAGCTGTTACGGGCTGCTTCGTGTGTGTGTGTGTGTGTGTGAAAAATTAGTTAGTAGTTCGTAACAGTTGATTGACAGTTGAGAGGCGGGCCGAAAGAGCAGAACTCAACCCCCGCATGCACAACTAAGTGAATACAACTAGGTGAAAGCACACACACAGGGGGGCCTCGCGACTTGAGTGGACAGCGCTCGAGGGCCGTAATCCTATGGGGCCCGGGTTCGATTCCCGGCCGAGGCAGAAACAAATGGGCAGAGTTTCTTTCACCCTGATGCTTCTGTTCACCTAGCAGTAAACAGGCAATATATATATAGAGAGAAAGAGAAAGACAGAGATATAGGCGTATCTGCTGGGCTGTGAGCCTCCCCCCCCCCGGGCAGTTCTGCTGTGCTTCGCAATTCACGTTCCTTAAAGTTTAGATTGCATTCAAGTCTTTTGTGTTGAGGTGTGACAGATTTCCCCTCCTTTCATTCTCTGCTCTTCTTTCCTTCTCCCTCGTCCTCTCTTCTTCTCTCACCACCACCTTCTTCTTCTCTCACCACCTCCTTCTTCTTCTCTCACCACCTCCTTCTTCTTCTCTCACCACCTCCTTCTTCTTCTCTCACCACCTCCTTCTTCTTCTCTCACCACCTCCTTCTTCTTCTCTCACCACCTCCTTCTTCTTCTCTCACCACCTCCTTCTTCTTCTCTCACCACCTCCTTCTTCTTCTCTCACCACCTCCTTCTTCTTCTCTCACCACCTCCTTCTTCTTCTCTCACCACCTCCTTCCCATTTCCTCTCGTCAAGAGCTGCAGGATATTTGTCTCTCCTTGAAAGAGGATTTTTTTAACAGCATTATGGAATTAAGTCGATCAAGTAGACGAATATACTTCCTTGTAACTCATGTTTTTTCATCAATGACATAACCTAACCACTTGGGCTGGACGGTAGAGCGACGGTCTCGCATCATGCAGGTCGGCGTTCAATCCCCGACCGTCCAAGTAGTTGGGCATCATTACTTCTCCCCGTCCCATCCCAAATCCTTATCCTGACCCCCTCCCAGTGCTATTTAGTCGTCATTGCTTGGCGCTTTTTCCCTGATAGTTCCCTTCATCGATGACATCCACGGACGCCGCCGGGCAGAGCCGTGGATCAAGCATCTCCCCGTAGCAGTGACGTGTTGAGTGACAAGGGGGTTCGACTACTCAGCCTCCCAAGATGGCGTCATCTCAGACAATTTTCTCGCTAGTCATCTATCCTTTCATGGCTAGCGGGACCTCAATTTTTTAATGTGGGGAAAATGACGTCTCTAGCCACGAGACGAGTCCATTCAATTAGCGACGTGTGTCAAATATCTTTCGGAATACTTGCGTCGTGTCTGCTAAAAAAAAAAAAAGGAATTCGCATTCTTTGTATTTTTTTTCATTTCTTCTCCCAAGACATGTTATCTAGATTTCAATTTCGTGTTCTTTAGTGATCGTGTGTGCTTTCGTGGGGCTTTCGTGAATGGGTTATTTATGACTGCTCTTGATAGTGTATCACGTTTTCGCGTCTTCCACGTGTCCCAGCACGTGGAAGACATCCCTCTATCTAGCCACTGTGACCTGGGCATCCGGCCACTGTGACGCGGGCATCCGGCCCCCACCCAGCAGCATAACTCACCCCTCCCCCCCCCGCGCACGACATTCGCCAAACTCTGGAAGAAAGAACACAAAACTTCTGTAAATTTGGGGAAGTGTGACTTATTGTGTCGCCTGTCGGTGAGGGACAGCTGTCGCGTCGCTGTCGGACGAGGGACCTGTCGGTGAGGGACAGCTGACGCGTCGCTGTCGGACGAGGGACCTGTCGGTGAGGGACAACTGACGCGTCGCCGTCGGACAAAGGGACCTGTCGGTGAGGACAGCGGTCGCTGTCGGACGAGGGACCTCGTCCGACAGGAGGAACGGACGCGTTATCATAATTCTTCAATTAACATAAGAATTCCTCAAAGAACAAACTTTATTCTCTCCGTGGAGACTTAGGAAGTCAAAATATATTACAGTTATGAAGCAATTACAGTGTAGCTTACACCCAGCTGCGTCACCTGTGTGGTGTAACACTACAGTCTGCGTCACCTGTGTGTCTTGTAACGCTGCAGTCTACGTCACCTATGTCATATATGTCATATAAATATGAAATATTAAGTACATATTCACATATTTTGTTTTAGTCAAAGCCTCAAAATACATAATCTATTACCTTATTATTACTTCTAACATTTTTTATTGCAAAGTTGGAGTTTTTGTCAACAGTTTTTAACTTATTGACAAACTTTATAATATATTTTACTGTTTATTCCACTGAATATAGTCTATATAGTGTTATCTTTTATATAAGCTAACAATATATGAAAGTTATGTAAGTCCATATATTATGTTTTATCGTGACTTAATGTAAGGACAATCATAGTCAAAATATTCATGAATAGTTTCTGTTGTATTTGTGTATTAAACAGGTATTTAATTATTATTTACTCAAATTTTTCTAACAATCAATAATATTGATTATCACAGTAATCAATCTTGTCCACCAAAAAAAAAAAAACAATTATTTACGTTCTATTTCATTCTCCCAAAATTTAATTCTCTGTATATATATTTTTTCCCCCATGCCCGATAACAGTGATGGAGAATCGCTGCTTACGAAAGTACAATGTATCTAATAGCCGTTTTCCAGACTTTTGCAATGATTTTTTGCTATAATATTTTAAAGCAAATAGAAACTCAATACAAATTAAATGAGTGAAATTTGCGTGCCTTCAGACTCGGCAGGACAGGATGGCGAGGACTGCGCAGGTGGCTGTCTCAACCAGGGCCTGTGCGGCTACGGCGGCGTGTGCCACTGCGCGCGCGGCTGGACCGGTCTCCGCTGCCAGACGCCAGAGTGCGCGCGCGGGTGTATCAACGGGGGTGTGTGTACCGCCCCGGACACCTGTCGCTGCCCGCCGGGGTACTCTGGGGCACTCTGTCAGCACGGTGAGTCTATACCCACACGCACACGCGCACGCAAGACAGGGGGCAAGCAGGGATTTATGCAGGGGGCAAGCAGGGAGCAAGCATGGGGGAGTCTCAGAGCCGTATCACATGCTGTGGGATATTCTGAGTGATTTTAACACGATGGTGACCAAGTTACTTCTTTCCTTATGGTGTTTTTTATTTCTTTGAGCTGATTTACGCCTTGGTGCCTTCAAGTTATGGGTAACACCTGTGTTGGGGCTATAATACAGATGTATATTAAACAGGTGTTTGAAACGCCATCAAACATCTGTACTTCATACAGATGTTTAGTGGTGATGCACAACTAATGAAGGGAAATCAGAAGATAATATGACTGTACTCTCTTGAAAAATGAACGAGACAGTTGAAGAATGATCTGAAAAATGGCAGCTGGACTTTAATATAGATAAATTATACACATATAATTATACACTGTATATATATATATATATACACAGATCTTTAATATAGACAAATTATACACATAGTTATAAACTGTGTATGTATATACAGATCCTTAATATAGACATATTAACAAAAGTTAGGGGGAAGGACAAGGAGTGAGATAACCCAGAGAACACTGCAGAATGTATTTTCCTACATCAGAATACAAGACAATTGACCCTAAATGTTAACATGATAACAATCTGAAGGGAAATGTATAAGTTAGCGTATTATGCCTCAACCTTCAAGTGTACAGAAAGCCTCCAGAGGGGGGAGGGGCCAGATTCACGAAGCAGTTACGCAAGTACTTACGAACAGGGCCAGATTCACGAAGCAGTTACGCAAGTACTTACGAACAGGGCCAGATTCACGAAGCAGTTACGCAAGTACTTACGAACGTGTGCATCTTTCCTCAATCTTTGACGGCTTTGGTTACATTTATTAAACAGTTTACAAGCATGAAAACTTCCCAATCAACTGTTGTTATTGTTATAAACAGCCTCCTGGTGCTTCGGAGCTCATTAACTGTTTAATAATTGTAAACAAAACTGTCGAAGATTGAGAAAAGGATGTACAGGTTCGTAAGTGCTTGCGTAACTGCTTCGTGAATCTGGCCCCAGGAACTTAAATTAACTGTTCACTACATACCAATTTCGTGAGCCTTTTGTGAGAATTTCGTGAAAATGCAAAACTAAGCAAGAGAAAAGGTTCACGGAACTGAACCACGAGAACCGCTGTAAATGAACCTCATCCACTAGGGACGAATGAAGAAACATGGGGGGGAAATGTTCACGACATATAAGATCTAACAGGGAATTAACGACTAAGTAGACAAATAAGCAATGTTCAAAGTGAGGAGCAACACGACGAGGGGGAAACGCTGATTGAAACTGAAGATTCAAATGAGTCAACAAGGTGTCAGAAAACACTTCTTCCACATAAGACTTGGAAATAAATACACAAGATCAGATGAAGTGATCGAAGCTAACTCAAAATACAACTTAAGAATGGCAATGACAATACAAGTATATGTTTCACGGAATATTCTCATTCCCAATGAACATTTCTCATAACCAAACGCAACAATACTGAGAAAGGAAAACCTGCTAGCCACCGTGAACAAGAATATTCCACATTCGTGTGGGAGCGACAGAATCCCATTGAAAATTCGTTTTCTACAGTTTCCCCTAAAACTGTTTCCTTTACGAAAAGTGGGAAGACCATTATTGTACCGTACCAAGATGAGGTGCCTTGTCTGAGTGGGCTGAGCTTACCTAGTTACTGTAACAGTGTGTGTGTTAGGTGTTACATTACTTTTAGTGAGTTCCTCCTTTACTCATTCATGCATTTGGTCTGGTCGGTACAACGACGGCCTGGCTTCTTCCAGGGTCAGTGTTTGATCTCCAATGAGTTAAGTGTTTGGGTACCGTTCCTTAAGTATGTCTCAATATCCAAGCTCGTTACCTTTCGTCATGTCCCCTGCTTGTACCTGTCCTCATGTCCCTGCTTGTACTCTGTTCCCATGTCTCCTGCTTGTACTCTGCCCTCATGTCCCCTGCTTGTACTTTGCCCTCATGTCCCTGCTTGTACTCTGCCCTCATGTCCCCTGCTTGTACTCTTCCCTCATGTCCCTGCTTGTACTCTGCCCTCATGTCCCCTGCTTGTACTCTGCCCACATGTCCCCTGCTTGTACTCTGCCCACGTGTCCCTGCTTGTACTCTTCCCTCATGTCCCTGCTTGTACTCTTCCCTCACGTCCCTGCTTGTACTCTGCCCTCATGTCCCCTGCTTGTAATCTGCCCACGTGTCCCTGCTTGTACTCTTCCCTCACGTCCCTGCTTGTAATCTGCCCACGTGTCCCTGCTTGTACTCTTCCCTCACGTCCCTGCTTGTACTCTGCCCACGTGTCCCTGCTTGTACTCTTCCCTCATGTCCCCTGCTTGTACTCTTCCCTCACGTCCCTGCTTGTACTCTGCCCACATGTCCCTGCTTGTACTCTGCCCACGTGTCCCTGCTTGTACTCTGCCCTCATGCCCCTGCTTGTACTCTGCCCACGTGTCCCTGCTTGTACTCTTCCCTCATGCCCCTGCTTGTACTCTGCCCACATGTCCCCTGCTTGTACTCTGCCCTCATGTCCCCTGCTTGTACTCTGCCCACGTGTCCCTGCTTGTACTCTTCCCTCATGCCCCTGCTTGTACTCTGCCCACATGTCCCCTGCTTGTACTCTTCCCTCATGTCCCTGCTTGTACTCTGTTCCCATGTCCCCTGCTTGTACTCTGCCCACATGTCCCTGCTTGTACTCTTCCCTCATGTCCCTGCTTGTACTCTGCCCACGTGTCCCTGCTTGTACTCTGCCCACATGTCCCCTGCTTGTACTCTGCCCTCATGTCCCCTGCTTGTACTCTTCCCTCATGTCCCTGCTTGTACTCTGTTCCCATGTCCCCTGCTTGTACTCTGTTCCCATGTCCCCTGCTTGTACTCTGCCCACATGTCCCTGCTTGTACTCTTCCCTCATGTCCCTGCTTGTACTCTGCCCTCATGTCCCCTGCTTGTACTCTTCCCTCATGTCCCTGCTTGTACTCTGTTCCCATGTCCCCTGCTTGTACTCTGTTCCCATGTCCCCTGCTTGTACTCTGCCCACATGTCCCTGCTTGTACTCTTCCCTCATGCCCCTGCTTGTACTCTGCCCACGTGTCCCTGCTTGTACTCTGTTCCCATGTCCCCTGCTTGTACTCTGCCCACATGTCCCTGCTTGTACTCTGTTCCCATGTCCCCTGCTTGTACTCTGTTCCCATGTCCCCTGCTTGTACTCTTCCCTCATGTCCCTGCTTGTACTCTGCCCACATGTCCCTGCTTGTACTCTGCCCACATGTCCCTGCTTGTACTCTTCCCTCATGCCCCTGCTTGTACTCTGCCCACGTGTCCCTGCTTGTACTCTTCCCTCATGCCCCTGCTTGTACTCTGCCCTCATGTCCCTGCTTGTACTCTGTTCCCATGTCCCCTGCTTGTACTCTGCCCTCATGTCCCCTGCTTGTACTCTTCCCTCATGTCCCTGCTTGTACTCTGCCCTCATGCCCCTGCTTGTACTCTGCCCTCATGTCCCTGCTTGTACTCTGTTCCCATGTCCCCTGCTTGTACTCTGCCCTCATGTCCCCTGCTTGTACTCTGCCCTCATGTCCCCTGCTTGTACTCTTCCCTCATGTCCCTGCTTGTACTCTGCCCTCATGCCCCTGCTTGTACTCTGCCCTCATGTCCCTGCTTGTACTCTGTTCCCATGTCCCCTGCTTGTACTCTGCCCTCATGTCCCCTGCTTGTACTCTGCCCTCATGTCCCCTGCTTGTACTCTTCCCTCATGTCCCTGCTTGTACTCTTCCCTCACGTCCCTGCTTGTACTCTGCCCTCATGTCCCTGCTTGTACTCTGCCCTCATGTCCCCTGCTTGTACTCTGCCCTCATGTCCCCTGCTTGTACTCTGCCCACATGTCCCCTGCTTGTACTCTGCCCACGTGTCCCTGCTTGTACTCTTCCCTCATGTCCCTGCTTGTACTCTGCCCTCGTGCCCCTGCTTGTACTCTGCCCTCATGCCCCTGCTTGTACTCTGTTCCCATGTCCCCTGCTTGTACTCTGCCCTCATGTCCCCTGCTTGTACTCTGCCCTCATGTCCCCTGTTTGTGCTCTGCCCTCATGTCCCCTGCTTGTACTCTGCCCTCATGGCCCCTGCTTGTATTCTGCCCTCATGTCCCCTGCTTGTACTCTGCCCTCATGTCCCCTGCTTGTACTCTGCCCTCATGTCCCCTGCTTGTACTCTGCCCTCGCGTCCGCTACTTGTACTCTGTGCCTCATGTTCCCTGCTTGTACTCTGTCCTCATGTCCCTGCTCGTAGTGTTCCGTGGGCGATATATAGTCATACCGTCTTAGCGCTCTCCCGATGATGTCCTCGCCCATCCAAACGTGTGTTTGTCCGTCTCACAGCCCTGTGTAGTCCTGCCTGCAGCAACGGTGGTACCTGCGTCATCCCGGGGCTGTGTGTGTGTCCTGCTGGCTACGTTCCTCCCCTGTGTGCTCGTAAGTCAGTCTGATACTCAGCCTCAGTCTGAGTCTCTCTCTCTGTCTCTCTCTCTGTCTCTCTCTGTCTCTGTCTCTCTCTGGCGCCAGCAACAGCTGCAACATTGACAAGTAGGAAGCAGTTTGCTGGTGTTACACTGAATCTGTGACCAGCGTCTGTCTGCAATTCCATAGTGATGTCGATGCGAGAAACTTCCGAACGCGATAGAAAAATTTTGGTTTGAAGCGAAATAGAGTTTGGAACAAATAATAGCGTTACCGAGAGTGCTGGTTCTAACTCTTGGCTTCCAGGATGTCTGTAACTGGGTGTTAGTTAGTTAGAATAGAGCAGTTAGAATAGACTGAAGTTGATCCAGGACATTGCTTATTGTCCTGATCATCACACCCCATCATCACCACACACCACCACCATCACCACACACACCACCATCACTCACACACACCACCATCACCACACACCACCACCATCACCACACACACCACCATCACCACACACACCACCATCACCACACACACCACCATCACACACCATCAGCACCTACATCACCACCATCATTGATTGTTCAGTAGCGTGCACTGGCAAACTCTGGGTGCATTATAGAGACACGAGAGTGAGTGAAGTAATTAGAAAGCTCCAGGTACCTCATGCCAACGGGTCTGAATGGTCTAATAACTGGGCATTCAGTGATGTAGTGTGGGAGATCATGCCGTAGTTCCTGCTCACAGAGTTTGCACCTGGAGTGCTCAGGATTGGGAGATCCGTCACCTGCAGCCACCTGCCACAGGTAACGGTATAGCCACCTGCCACAGGTAACGGTATAGCCACCTGCCACAGGTAACGGTATAGCCACCTGCCACAGGTAACGGTATAGCCACCTGCCACAGGTAACGGTATAGCCACCTGCCACAGGTAACGGCAGCCACCTGCCACAGGTAACGGTAACCCAACCTGATCCTGGCAACCACTGTGTCGCATAGTCTGGTGGACGTTGTGTTCTGCCCAGAAACATAGGTTTCGCATCTGAACAAATCATAGCTTTTTATACTGGTGCTTTCAGGTCTTTGGGAGTCAGTAATTTCTCTTCTATGAGACCCGATTGTTTGGAATATTGTCTTGACATCACCAATGAGGCTACCTAGTTCTAATTCAACTTGTTACAAGCTTATCTAGATGTAACATAAAAGTCTCTCTCCTCCAAAGTGACGTAGACTAATAATGGCTAAGATTCCCCTCTCAAGTGCCTTCCTCATCACGGCTAAGCACCTCATTCCTCAAGTGCCTTCCTCATCATATTTGATGATGTGATGAACCTCTAATGAACTGCGTTAGTATATACATAGCCCTGGCAGGCGGCTGCTTCAGTCCTAGTGAGATGAGAACAGTGTGTTTAAGTCCTCCTTTACCAGACATATTAAGTCCTTTTTACTGTGTTTTTTTTTAATTCCTTATATTCCTACCTTTTGCTTTTTTTTTTATTTTTAGCTGTTTTAATTAGTTTGTTTTTAATTTGTATTTGTTTAATATACTTTATGTTATTTAATGAACCATATTTTGCCTAATTTGATATTATTTGAGTTAATTGTCAATGAGTTGTGCATGAGTTCCAATAGGAGTGAGTTTCTATATGCATGTGTTCGCCTAGAGATGAGTTCCCATTGGAATGAGTTCCCATTGGAATGAGTTCCCATTGGATTGAGTTCCCATTGGATTGAGTTCCCATTGGAATGAGTTCCCATTGGAATGAGTTCCCATTGGAATGAGTTCCCATTGGAATGAGTTCCCATTGGAATGAGTTCCCATTGGAATGAGTTCCCATTGGAATGAGTTCCCATTGGAATGAGTTCCCATTGGAATGAGTTCCCATTGGATTGAGTTCCCATTGGAATGAGTTCCCATTGGAATGAGTTCCCATTGGAATGAGTTCCCATTGGAATGAGTTCCCATTGGAATGAGTTCCCATTGGAATGAGTTTCCATGGGGAATGAGTTTCCATGGGGAATGAGTTTCCATGGGGAATGAGTTTCCATGGGGAATGAGTTTCCATGGGGAATGAGTTTCCATGGGGAATGAGTTTCCATGGGGAATGAGTTTCCATGGGGAATGAGTTTCCATGGGGAATGAGGTCCCACGGGAATGAGTTTCCATAGGCATGAGTTCCATTGATGACAACTCATCCTCTTGACAATCTTCCCCCCCCCCCCCCCGTGCGTTTGACGACGGCACGGCAGCCATGTGCACGGCGCGCTGCCTTCACGGCGGGGAATGCACGGGCGTGGAGCGGTGCACGTGTCCCGGGGGCTACACGGGTGCACGGTGCGAGTCTGCCGTGTGTACGCCCTCGTGTCAGCACGGCGGCCTCTGCGTCGCGCCCGGCGTCTGCTCCTGTACCCCAGGTTACGGCGGCTCCATCTGTCAGCGACGTGAGTCTTGAAGAGAGATGATAAGGGGAAGGGAGGGGGAGAGGGCGAGAGAGATGATAAAGGGAAGAGAGGGGAGGGCGAGAGAGATGATAAGGGGAAGGGAGTGGGGGAGAGTGAGAGAGATGGAACGACAGGTGAGCTAGAGAAATGTTCCAGCGAGGTATTGGTGGGTGTTGGTGCATATACCGAAGGCCAGCGGGAGGTGCTGGTACATATCCCGAGGGCCAGCGGGAGGTGCTGCTACATATCCCGAGGGCCAGCGGGAGGTGTTGCTACATATCCCGAGGGCCAGCGGGAGGTGCTGGTACATATCCCGAGGGCCAGAGGGAGGTGCTGGTATATATCCCGAGGGCCAGCGGGAGATGCTGGTACATATCCCAAGGGCCAGCGGAAGATGCTGGTACATATCCCGAGGGCCAGCGGGAGGTGCTGGTATATATCCCGAGGGCCAGCGGGAGGTGTTGCTACATATCCCGAGGGCCAGCGGGAGGTGCTGCAGAGATGCCGTGGAAAACGGCAAGAAAAAGATATAATGAAATAAAACAAGAAACAATATTGATAAGAACGAAACATGTCTGGAACCCTCCCAAGAGGAACCCTCCCAAGAGGAACCCTCCCAAGAGGAGCCCTCCCAAGAGGAGCCCTCCCAAGAGGAACCCTCCCAAGAGGAGCCCTCCCAAGAGGAACCCTCCCAAGACGAGCCCTCCCAAGAGGAGCCCTCCCAAGAGGCGCCCTCCCAAGAGGAGCCCTCCCAAGAGGAGCCCTCCCAAGAGGAGCCCTCCCAAGAGGAGCCCTCCCAAGAGGAACCCTCCCAAGAGGAGCCCTCCCAAGAGGAACCCTCCCAAGAGGAGCCCTCCCAAGAGGAGCCCTCCCAAGAGGAGCCCTCCCAAGAGGAGCCCTCCCAAGAGGAGCCCTCCCAAGAGGAGCCCTCCCAAGAGGAGCCCTCCCAAGAGGAGCCCTCCCAAGAGGAGCCCTCCCAAGAGGAGCCCTCCCAAGAGGAGCCCTCCCAAGAGGAGCCCTCCCAAGAGGAGCCCTCCCAAGAGGCGCCCTCCCCAAGAGGAGCCCTCCCCAAGAGGAGCCCTCCCCAAGGGGAGCCCTCCCCAAGAGGAGCCCTCCCCAAGAGGAGCCCTCCCCAAGAGGAGCCCTCCCAAGAGGCGCCCTCCCCAAGAGGAACCCTCCCCAAGAGGAGCCCTCCCCAAGAGGAACCCTCCCCAAGAGGAGCCCTCCCAAGAGGAGCCCTCCCCAAGAGGAACCCTCCCAAGAGGCGCCCTCCCCAAGAGGAACCCTCCCAAGAGGCGCCCTCCCCAAGAGGAACCCTCCCAAGAGGCGCCCTCCCCAAGAGGAACCCTCCCAAGAGGAGCCCTCCCAAGAGGAGCCCTCCCCAAGAGGAACCCTCCCAAGAGGCGCCCTCCCCAAGAGGAACCCTCCCAAGAGGCGCCCTCCCCAAGAGGAACCCTCCCAAGAGGAACCCTCCCAAGAGGAGCCCTCCCAAGAGGCGCCCTCCCCAAGAGGAACCCTCCCAAAAGGAGCCCTCCCCAAGAGGAACCCTCCCAAGAGGAGCCCTCCCCAAGAGGAACCCTCCCAAGAGGCGCCCTCCCCAAGAGGAACCCTTCCAAGAGGCGCCCTCCCCAAGAGGAACCCTCCCAAGAGGCGCCCTCCCCAAGAGGAACCCTCCCAAGAGGAGCCCTCCCAAGAGGCGCCCTCCCCAAGAGGAACCCTCCCCAAAAGGAGCCCTCCCCAAGAGGAACCCTCCCAAGAGGAACCCTCCCAAGAGGCGCCCTCCCCAAGAGGAGCCCTCCCCAAGAGGAGCCCTCCCCAAGAGGAGCCCTCCCCAAGAGGAGCCCTCCCCAAGAGGAGCCCTCCCCAAGAGGAGCCCTCCCAAGAGGAACCCTCCCAAGAGGAACCCTCCCAAGAGGCGCCCTCCCCAAGAGGAACCCTCCCAAAAGGAGCCCTCCCAAAGAGGAACCCTCCCAAGAGGAGCCCTCCCCAAGAGGAGCCCTCCCCAAGAGGAGCCCTCCCAAGAGGAACCCTCCCAAGAGGAGCCCTCCCAAGAGGAGCCCTCCCAAGAGGAGCCCTCCCAAGAGGCGCCCTCCCAAGAGGCGCCCTCCCAAGAGGAGCCTTCCCAAGAGGCGCCCTCCCAAGAGGCGCCCTCCCAAGAGGCGCCCTCCCAAGAGGCGCCCTCCCAAGAGGAGCCCTCCCAAGAGGCGCCCTCCCAAGAGGCGCCCTCCCAAGAGGCGCCCTCCCAAGAGGCGCCCTCCCACGAAGGGTTCAAGCTCAACCAAAGTTATTCAACTAGATTAGAACAAGCAGCTGAGGCAAGCAGAAGGAGAACACAAGAATAAGAACACGACGAACAATAACTTCGTGTTCATCAAGCCTTCATGGAACGACAGACGAAACATGTACATCTTTCGATAGTCATATCCAGTGTGTTTTCATTTATTAAAATATTGTATTAGTTCTGAAGCCCAACGGGGCTGTTTATAAAACTAATAACCTTGAAATTTTCAGTATACGAAGCTCGAAAGTTGTTTAATAAATGTCAATATATATCCGCCATGGTTCAGAAGAGATGTACAGGTTTCGTAAAAGGGAACGTTAATGCCTCGATGAATCGTGGTTCTAAAAAATTCCTGCCTATCAGTTGTTGTTTTTCACTATAATGAATATAGGTTATAGTCATTTTGCATGTATATTGTCTAATGTTTTTTATTTTTTTTAGTTTTAATATATTTATATATTGTTTTATCGCATATAATTTGAATGTGTTTTTTTGCTTTTTATAAATATGTCACTTTTGTCATTTTTTTATATATATTAAATAAACCTCCCTTTCCTCCTATACAGTAATCATGAGATAAATTATAGTGTTCAACTTTACCTGTGTATGTATTCATACACAGCCGGATACAGGATACAGCTGGAGTCACCTGGCTGTATCCTCACAGGTTCCCAATAGTCCTCGAACTTTTGCCCACGTTCAAAACATATCTATGAACTATGTACTCCTGTGGTCGACATATTCACAAACATATTCATATGGCCACTTTTTCCACGGGAACACGTGGGCACTACACACCTTACACACACACACACACACACACACACACACACACACACACACACACACACACACACACACACACCTGTATCCCCGTATCCCATGCCCGTGTCATGTGTTGCAGCTGTGTGTCGGCCGCCGTGTCAGCACGGAGGGACGTGCCTGGCACCTTACCTGTGTCGATGCCCGGCTGGCACCCTGGGCACGTACTGTCAAAATTGTGAGTTTTAGTTCTAAATTTCATTTCAGTTTGATTTTAATATATTTTGTTGTTTTCTTCTGTTTCAGTCGACATTGTTAATGTTGATTTTTTATTGTTTTGTTTCCCATTGTTTTTTTTTCTTGAGTTTCAGATTATATTATATTATTATTATTATATATATATTATATATATATATATATATATATATATATATATATATATATATATATATATATATATATATTATAGAATTTTGGATAACTGATTTTTCAATTACCATCGACAGTGAAAAGAAACATAAAAAATATTGAGAAAATTCGTGTTCGAATTATTAATCTTACTTTTACGGTCATATTTAATAATATGTGTCTACAGGAAAGACTGCTACCAAAATATACTAATATATTATAATATATATATATATATATATATATATATATATATATATATATATATATATATATATATATATATATATATGAGATGCGTTTAAAGCGAAAACAACGCAATATGAAAACAGTTACTGTACATACCAGGGACTTTTTTTTTACAAGAGAAAGATAAAAATTGGTTAAAAATGTC